CAGATAATTTGTTCTTTCTTTGTGATGCTAAGGGGAAACCATTAGCCAGAACACCAGGGTAGTGAAGTTTGTTCTAAAGCAAACATCTTTTTAGGTTCTTCCCCCTCCTCTGTGTAACCACAGGAAAATAGCTGTCAAAACAAAAGCTTTTTACCTGAGAAAACAATTCTAACGGTGTTAGTATTTTCTAGGTACTAGCTTGTTAACTGTAAACGTCAATAGTGATTCAGGAACTACGATCTCAAATTAACTGAAAGGGCAGATTTCATAGAGTCATAGTCTTAGAGCCATACAGCATTGAAACAGGCTCTTTCGTCCAACTAGTCCATGCCGACCATAATCCCAAACTAAACCACCTGTGCTTGGCCCTATCACTCCAAACATTTCTTATTCATGTACTTATCTAAATGTCTTTTAGAAGTTGTAACTGTACCCGCGTGCACCAGTTTCTCTGGAAGTTCATTCCACAAACAAACCACTCTCTTGTGTAAAAAAGTCTTTTTTGAATCTTTCTTCTCTCACCTTAAAATATGACCTCTAGTCTTGAAATCTCCCACCCTAGGGAAAATACATCTGCCATTCACCTTATTTATACCTGTCATTATTTTATAAACTTCTATGAGGTCACCTCCCAACTCCTACACTGTAGTGAAAGAAGTCCCAGCTTATCCAGCCTCTCCTCATAACGCAAATCCTCCATTCCTGACAACATCGTAGTAAATCTCTTCTGAACTCTTTCCAGCTCAATATCCTTCCTATAACAGGGATACCAAACTAAACATAGTATTCCAGAAGAGGCCTTACCGATGTCCTGTACAATCTCAACATACCGTCCCAACTCCAAAGGTCTGAGCAATGAGGCAAGCATGTTACACACCTTCTTAACCACACTATGTATATGTGATGCAAACTTCAAAGAAGTATGGACATGAACCCCTAGGACTCTCTGTTCTAAAACACTTCCCAAGACCCTGCTTTTAACTGTACAAATCTTGTCTGTGTTGTTTTACCAAAATGAAATACCTCGCATTTATCCAAATTAAACTCCGTTTGCCACTCTTCAGCCCATTGACCCAATTGATCAAGATCTTTCTGTAATCTATATAATCTTCTTCACTGTCCACTATATCACCAATTTTGGTGTCATCTGCAAACTTACTAACCATGCTTTCTATATTCTCATCTAAATAATTTATATATATAATAGACAAAAGTGGACCCAGCATTGATCCCTGTAGAACACTGCTGGTCACAGGTCTCCAGTTCAAAAAACAATTCTCCAATGTCATTCTCTAGTCTCTAGCCATTAAGCCAATTTTGTATCCAATTGGCAAACTCACCCTGAATCCCAGGTATCTAACTTTACTGATTAATCTACCATGTGGAACTTTGTCAAAGGCTTTACTAAAGTCCAAGTTAATAAAGTCTACCTAAGACCAAGTAAACAAAGTCTACCAAAGACCATGAGAATTGGGTACGAAGTTGAAGAGGAAAAGAAATTGCTGGGCTACAGGCAAAGAGCAGGGAATTGGAACAATTGGATAGCACTTTTGCAGATATAATAGGATGGATGGCCTTCCTCTGTGCTGATTCTTGGAGGAATGGTCAATTGGATGGGAATAGCTATCCGAGCAGCAGCCAGTGCCTTTGGGAGAAGGGAAGAAAAGTGAAATTAGTGAATAACAACCTCTCAAAGTGACACCTAGAAATGAAGAGGTCAGCATTTCTGCCATTTGATCAGAGCTGAAAGGCTAGAGGATCCCTCCTGGACAGCAATGTCGGCGACAGCAGAAGAGGGTTGACCATGGCATAGTTGGATGATGGATGTCACAGAGTAGTCGCAGTGAATATGTAGGGAGGCATGAGACAGACAAGTGTGTTATATAATGGCAGCAGATCTCTTGGTATACTATAAACAGCAGAATATAATTTTAAGAAGTATGATAATTTTGGAATGGCATCATGGATGGCACCAGACATGGTGGGCCGAAGGGCATGTTCCTGTGTTGTACTGTTCTGTTTTCCATAAGTAATGGAGGGACTGAGGTTACACTCGGATTGCTTTTCAGTTCTACAGGCGTGGGCAGAATATAAGTGCAACTTCAAATGGAAAGGAAAAAAAGGTCGTTCTTCACTGGACTGTTTGAAATCAGGGCAGGGCTTCTTGATGACTTGATCATGAAGACTTTCAAGAAGAATGAAGATATAGTTCTTGGGGCTAAAGGGATCAAAGGATGTAGGGAGAAAGTGGGAACAGGGGACTGAGTTGGATGATCAGGCAGGATCATATTGAATGGCAGAGCAGGCTCAAAGGGCCAATTGGCCTACTCCTGCTCCTATATTCTATGTTTCTAGACTTGGAGTGACCAAGGGCACAAGAAAAATTACACTGTGGAGATCCAAAAATTGGGAAAGTAATGAGTTTAAATTGCAGATATGAGCGATAACAGAGAGGAAGAGACCTGTTCATCTAGCCTGTGTCAAAATGTTCCAATATCTTGTGTACAACATTCACTTTAACCCATCCAGACATCCTTTGAAATGGATGAATCAGGAATTCCAAAGATAAAGAAATGCCAAAATATTCCAATATATTCTTTTAGGACCAAGAATATTTGTTAATGTATGTACTTAAGACTTTTTTTTGCATGTTACTTAGCAGCAGCAGCACACTGCAAACTGGACTACCCTGATGTGCGACATTCTAAAAAGAAACTTTTCCCTCCATTATAATGATAGGTCTTGCTATCGAAACTGGTCAAACTGGTCTACTTGCATCTTGCTGTTTTGTTTTTTCTGCCAATACCTGCATCCTCTACCTATCATCAGTCATGGGATAATGCTTCATTTTGGTTATTTCCATTTTCTCTTGTGAATATTTGTTTGCCACCTCACTGCCTTGTTTGACCCTGTGTTGAGGTCTGACCTCAGATTGTCATCATGACAAAACTGCATTCATAACAATGCCAGCCTCTGTCCTTGTTTCAGTCTGGTCACTGCTGAAACCCTCATTCATACCAGTTTCACCTCAAGTCAGACTATTTCAATGGTCTTCTAGCTGGACTCCCCATCCTGTGTAAACATAAGCTCTTTCAAAGCTCTGCTCTTGTCCTGTCCCACATCAAGGGCTGTTCACCCTCCATGCCATCCTGCATCTACATTGGACTCCTCTATCTCTTTAATTCCTCAAATTTAACAATTTGATCCTTGTTCTTTAAATTGCTTTATGCCCACATTTCAGTAAGCACCTGCAGCCCTAAAAGCTTCTACCTATATTTTCCATACCTCTAATCTAGCTTTTTCTGGTGGCAATTAGTTCAGATGGCTAGACGGCTGGTGTGTGATTTTGAATGATGCCAACAGCATGGGGTTTGATCTCTATTTCGGCCTAGGTGGACAAGGGGTCTGCTTCCTCGCCCTTGACTGTATTAAAACCGCAGCATAGTGACAACCATATAACAACGTCAAATGTTGTAAAAACGCATCTGGTTCACAAATGTCCTTCAGGGAAGAAGGTCTGCCATCCTTTCCTGGTCTGTTATACGTGTGACTCCAGATCTGCAGGTATGTGGCTGACTTTAAACTGCCTTCTAAGCAATTAAGGATGGGCAATAAATGCTGGCCTAGCTAGTGATGCCCACATCCTGTGAATGTATAAAAATAACACTTCCTTACAGACTGAATCTCTAGTGTCTTCTCCACAGAATTTTAAGAATGCTGAATCCTAGATTCTTTCTAGACTGAAAGCAAAGCATATCAATTTTACCTGTTGTAAACCCAACTGTATAAACATCTTTTCATTAAAGCTACAAGACTGCAGTCACCTGCTTTCTGACAAAATGCAGGATTCTTCCAGAAGGACAAAACTAACAATTTTGATTTAAAGAAAATCCTTCACAGAAGTAATCAATACCCCTCACTCTACTCTGAAATTTAAATTCCAAAAATGATAGTAATATATATGAATTTTACACCCTTCATCACAAAATTCAATAACATGCTGCTTAATTATTTCTATTTAATTGAAGGAAGGGATATCAATATTGAAGAAGGGAACTGATTCTCTGCCAGTTTCAGTTACTTCATTTTACGTGACTGCTGTTTTTCTCCTCCTGTTGTGCTTTAACATCAGGACATGCTGTTAATCTTTGCTAAAATTTCAGGTCAGTGCCTAGGGGCTGCTGGATGCCGGTCCCATTCCTAGGAGGAAGGTCCACTACCACAAATTTGTAATCATACTTAGAGACAGCCACAGGGCAATTCTTGGCTGCCAGACTCTTCTTTTATTCAGCTATATACATTCCATATAGAGCAGGAAGTGTTTCCAGCATGACCATCTTAGAGCAAGACATCTAACATACTGTATGTCCTGTGACCTAACAAAAGTTACTGTTAGTGAGGTCATTAGCTATCTTATCGGTAGCTTCTTCCCTTATTCTACATTCTATCAGATGGATGTGGAAGACACACGTGATGCTTTTTTCAAGAAGGGCAAGACAGCGATCCCTGATATCCTGGCCAACATTTATCCCTCAATCAACATCACAAAAACAGGGTATCTGGCCATTACCAAATCGCTGTTTGCAAGAGCACAAATGCACTGACTCATTTCCCAGGTAACATCAAGCACTGAACTTCAAACAAGCACTTCAATGTGCACATAACACGGCTGTGAAAAGTGCTATGTAAATGCAAGCCTTTCTTTACCAGCAAAGAGTCGATTTTGTTTGCATGGGAGCCAGGATGAGAATGAGTGCATGTTCTGGAAACTTGTTTGCTCATTCTGTGGAACTGGTGATGTTTTTCAGAACTTCTGACATTGTAGATTATATTGGGAATAGAGTTCATAATGATAGTTTCTAATACCAGGAACCTTCCAAAATGTTTATGCTTATTTAAACTGTAAAGGCTTTATGGTTTGATGACCTGCTATATTTTTCTCATTGCATGATTTCTTATGAATGATGTGCAAATTTTAATTTAAACTTTTTAAAAAACAGTATACTGAACCTTGGAGATAGCAAGAACTGCAGATGCTGGAGTCAAAGTCAACATAGTGTGGAGCTGGAGGAACTGGAGGTTTGTAATGCATTTCTCCAAAATCAGCTATTTAAAATATCCAGTTGGCAAGTTTTTAATACTTGAGTCAAATGGACTCAGTTGTGAAGCCTTTTCTGACCAGTTGCATCTTAGTAATTTGACCTGAATACACTGCTGTTAAAATCATTCCACGGATTTTTTTTTGCGTTAAACTTCCTTACACTAACAAAATTTAAAAACTGCGGTGTTCAGTCAAATTGGCCTTAACTCCTGTTCCACAACTGGCGGTGGTCCTTTGCTAAGCTGCAAATTTTCTTGAAAATATTTGTGAGAGGTGCCCACACCTTCCAAAGCCATTTTAATGTCTTGGAACTAAAAAGACTACATGTCAAAGTGACCTTGGCAGCTGAGATGGCATTTTGAACATTCTACCTTTGCAGACCCCTGCAACAAAAGTCACTTGAAAGATAACCCATTTAAGATATTCAAGTTAATTCGTGCAAGGCCAAGCGATGTCTGCTTGGGTGGAACATCTTGCAAATGATCTGGCCAATCAGCTGAACTTGTATTGGAACAAACAACCTTTGGCAAGATTTCAACATATGCTTGAAAGCCAAATGTGCTGGAGACATAGCAATGTGTAATAACCTGTTGGAATATGTTTAGGCAAATATGTCACGAGCATAATTTCAACGACACTGTGAATACAGGCACACTAGTTGCCAATAAGCCTACGAACATTGCGACAACTTGGCACCCATGTTAAAGAAATGTTTTATCTGACAAAGTAGACTAACTCAAATGTGTGCAGAAACCAATTGTTCTTGAGTATATTTTATTGCCAATTTTGTGCTATTTATCAGGTTTCGTGTTCAGGTCTGCTGTAAATATCTACTCTAGTTCAGCGGTGCCAGTTGCTTCTTATGAAGAGGAGAAATTTGGCAAGGAGGAATCAGGTTTAATCAAATTTGAACTCTCCAGTGTCCTTTACATTCTTTGGTGTGTTTGTTATTTAAGTTTCTCTGCTCCCACAAAGCTCTGCCCAAACCTGCATGTTGAAGTCAAACTTAGGAAGCTCCTCATCTGCGCGATTCACAGTAGTCATCAGTTGATCTGACTACAAAGTACTTCTCTGGACATTGGTAGGTTTATAAATTAACATCTGTAAAAGAAATGCGATCTGTTTCTCTCACCCCACCCACTCCTGGCCATGGTTAATTAATTGAGAAAATTGTGCACCCAATTTATGATGAACTGATATGGATTTGATGAATTTCTTTGAAATCAAAATTTTTCATTCATATTCACTGTAAATAATTACTGCAAAAATGCATTTTATTGTTGTATATACAAATTTAATTTATAATAGCAACATTATTATAGCCACAATTTGTTAATCCTCAAAGGAATATTCTCACATGCCAATAATGGAACGGGTTTACAATTACATCTACATTCTGGTTGGTAAAATGGAGCCAGAACCAAGAGACTGGAATTCATAACTCCTGTATAAATCATTCTGACTGTTTAATTGTGATTCGAAAAGTGCTCTATATTTTATTCATTTAAGAACACACATAATTAATAACTTTTAAAAGAAGCAATCTCTCACTATGACAATTGAATGGTTATTATTTTTTCTCCGTTTGAGTCCTACAGAAATAGATTACTTCAAAGCAAATCCAATTGATTTCAAACTTCAAAATTAGTAACGGAAAGAACTGCGTATCTAGAAAATCAGAAACAAAAACAGAAATTGCTGGAAAAGCTCAGCGGGTCTGGCAGCATCTGTGGAGAGAAGTTAAATTTAACTTTTCAGGTCCAGTGACCCTTCCTCGGAACGCTCATATCTCACCACAGATGCTGCCAGACCCGCTGAGCTTTTCCAGCAATTTCTGATTTTGCTTCAAATCAATATTGGTCTTTTTTCCCTTTGATTTTTAAGATTTTTTTTCGTTCACAACCAGTGTTTATTGCCCATCCCTGTCTTTCTGAACCACTTTAGGTCATGGTGGTTAGGTACACCCACTGTGCTATTGGATGGAAATCCAAGATTTTGACCAGCAACAGTGAAGGAATGGTGCTATATTTCCAAGTCAGGATGGTAAGTGGTTGGAAGGGAACTTGCAGGTAATCGTTCTCCATGCATCTGCTTCCCTTGTCCTTCTAGGTGGTAAATATCATTGTTATAGGTAGAATTTTATGCTTGGAATTCAATCATTCTTAAACATAAGAATAGGAGGAGGCCATCTAGCCACTCAAGCCTATTCTGACATCTAAACAGATCATGGCTGATCTCTGACTTAACTCTATTAATCTGCCTTTGTCCATTTCTTTGATTTCTTGGAACAACAGAAATCGATTAAGCTTTGGGGTGGCACGATGGCTCAATGGTTAGCACTGCTGCCTCACAGCAACAGGGACCCGGGTTTGATTCCACCCTTGTCTGTGTGGAGTTTGCACAATCTCTCCGTGTCCACGTGGGTTTCTGTTGAGTGCTCTGGTTTCCTCCCACAGTCTAAAGATGTGCAGATTAGGTGGATTGGCCATGCTAAATTTCCCATAGTGTCCAGGGGTGTGTAAGTTAGGTGGATTAGCCATGGGAAATGCAGGGTTACGGGGAAAGGGAATGGGGATGGATCTGGGTGGAATGCCCTTCGGAGGGTTGGTATGGATTTGTTGGGCTAAATGGCCTGTTTCCACACTGTAGGGATTCTATGATTCATGGTCATCACCATTTGTGTGAAGAAGCAATTTGTCTCCAAACAAAAAGGAAAATATCCAAACCAAGCCCTGTCTTTTGAATCTCCCAGGATCTTGGGATGCCTATAGTTCAGTATTGCTTTCTCCATAGAAAGTGGGAAATGTAGATAGTGCAAACTAGGTTGGCTGAAGAGCTCCTTCTGTAGTAAATGATTTAATGACTCTATAGCACCTCAACAAATCTAAGCTGATTTACCAACCAATCAAAATCTTTTTCCTCAAGAGTATAAGTTGTGATCATTTGAAATTGTATGCCTTGTACGCCTCTCTATGTCTAAACACCGTATGATCTGTATGTCCTTGTATGTTATGATCTGCCGGTACTGCTTGCAAAACAAAACTTTTCACTCTGCTTAGGTACATGTGACAATAATAAATCAAATCAAATCAAATTTGGCGTTCTTGCATTTGTCCTGATGAGTGCAAAAGAAAAAGCTTGGGCAACATGACACCCTGATCAGCAACATACAAGTTCTGGACTACCAAATGATTGTTTGTGAGATACAATATACTAAAGACATTTGATGAAATATTTCAATGCATTTGAGATAAATGAACAGGCAAGGGGATTACATGTTGAATAATGACCAAGACACATTGGAACAGAGATCTTGGGCTTTTACTACGTGGATCCTAAGAAGACGTCAATTCTGTAGCGGGAACAAATGGAACAATGAGCTGCATTAAGAGATGAAGAAAATATACATGAATTGGAATTGTATAAGAGCATCACTTCAGTCACCTTGAATGTTGTTAACAAGTTTTGGAACCACCACAACCCAGAAATGAAGAATTTGAGCTGGAGAAGAATTACTGGAGCAAATGCACAATATAGTGGACGCTGGAAATCTGAAATAAAACAGAAAGTGTTACAAATGTCGAACTGGAGAGAAACAGGAGTTAATGTTTTGGGTCAATGAATTTTCATCAGAAGAGTACAAATCTGGCACTTAACCAGGTATAGCATGAACTGTATATTAGGTGGATTAAAAATTGGCTGGGTGCTCTTTGTGAGAAGAGAAAGGATTCTGATTAGAGAGATATGAGAAGTGTAGTTCACAGATCAGGACTCTTCAAATTGTTATAAATGATACCACACCTGAGTGTGGTGTGCAGATTTGGTCTCCTTATCTGAGGAAAGATGGCTATAGAGAGAGTACAATGAAAGTTTACCTGACTGATTCCTGGGATCACAGGACTGAGGTATGAAGAGAGATTGGATCAGTTAGGACTATATTCATTTGAGTTTAAACAAATTGCGGGGCGGAGGGGGGGCGGTGGTGTTTCATAGAAATCTATAAAATTCCGGCAGGACTGGTCAGGGTAAACAAAGGAAGGATGTTCCCGATGACTGGGGAGTCCAGAACCAGGGGTTCACAGGATAAGGGGCAGGCCATTTATTACTGAGATGGGGAGAAATTTCTTCACCCAGAGAGTGATGAGCCTGTGGAATTCTTTACCACAGAAAGCAGTTGAGGCCAAAACATTGAATGTTTTCAAGAAGGACTTAGATATAGTTCTTAGGGCTAAAGAGATCACAAGATACTGATTTTGATGATCAGTTGTGATCATATTGAATGGTGGAGAAGGCTTGAAGGGTTGAATGGCTTATCTTGTTCCCATTTACTATAAAGTAAGAGGAACAGGGAACCAGTAGTTACATTTCAATATTTGCTGCTTCTGCAGTTAATACAATGGACGATGTGGAAAAGCTGCAGGAGGAGCAAGATTGTTTATTGGGAATTGACAGATGCAGTTTAATATGGAAAATACATTTGAGATAAATGAACGGGCAGAGGGTTTACATGTTGAATAATGACCAAGACCCATTGGGTTAGAGACCAGTTTCTGTTAGCTAGATCCTCAGAAGACATCAATTCTATATCTGGCAGGAATTCATGGAAAACTTCCCACTTGCTTGGATGGATGCAACTCCAAGAACACTTAAGGAACTCACTGCTTTCTAAGACAAAGCAGCCCGCTTGAACAATTCCCAATCTGCCACCTAAAGCAAGATGCATTGCAACAACCTACCAAGACTGCTTTGACAGTGTTCAAAACCAGTAGATGGATGGAACACTGTTGCCTGCAAGTTCCTCACCTGAGCTACACACTATCTTGATGTGGAATAATATTGTTGTTTGTTCACTGTTGTTGTGTCAAATAAGCAGGAGTTCCCTCCCTATATGCGTACCTGTGCCAGATGGACTGCAGCTATTTATAAAAGTAGCTTACCACTACCTTCTCAAGGGTAATTAGGGAAGGGAAACAAGTGCAGTGATGCCCACATACTTTGAAAAGAATAAAAACAACTTGCAGATCCATTTGAAGGAGACTGTGGGAAGATCTCTCTTCACCACTGTCTCTCCCTCCTGCACTGCCAGGCAGGCTGTTGCAATGTCAGAAGAGATCCAATCTTCAATTTTAATTTGCGCACCGGCTGTATGACAAGAACCAGTGTGAGGGAAGCTTTGGACTTGACCATTCAAGCAGAAGGATCATACCAGGTGCTGACCCCACCTCTGCAGCTAAAAAGGAGGCACCTAACTTTCTTTGCCTCAATGTTAATTTAGCAGCCAGCAAAGTATTAGGGGTTGGTGGTTTGGGATGTGGGGTATGGCAGCAGAGGCCTGTGAGAAGTGTGGAATTCATTTTGAAGCATTGAAAATCATGGGTCATGTGTTTGGAACAGAATTAAGTCTACCCTAGTCTTTAACCTTTGAAAATCATCCATTAAGCGTCACCTAGAACTTATTACTCAGGCTGTGTCTGACCATGGGAATGTTCTTTGTGGAATGCAACCGGGCAGTAAATAACAATGTAGATTATAATGTTAGATTACATCTGCCTTTACCTTAACTTGCCTTTGGGTGCTTTGAGGCATTTAACTACTTACTTGCTTTGCAAAGTTTTTTTTGTTGTAGAGCTGGAGTCTTGAGTGACTTTCCAATCTGTTAACAGTTAGGACTTTTTTTTCAAAATAGTTTTAGTGGAGGATTTAAAGCAGGGCTGGCTAAAGCAACGTTCTTACCCTCTTTGCCTAAAGATAAAACCATGCTCTTCTATGATGCTTGAATTTCCTGTACCTGAAGTGCTTGGAAGAAGCTGTACATAAAACACAGTATCACAATCCTTTTTGAGGATCGGCAAAGGTAGCCAAGTGAATATTCATTTGTATTATCATGGTCTATGTGTGGCCAGTGTAAATAATTCTTCAAGATGGGCTTCAAGATGGCAGTAGTGGAGTAGGCAGCTTATGGGCTCCTGTGCCTGGGCTTGCCCTCTTCATCAGTATTATTTTATCTTTTTCTTTTCCCTTCTACCCCTTCTTTTTTCCCAAACTTACCTGATAAAGAGAGCTGTTTGGCAGGAGATGGCTTTGATGGTCTCTGGAGCGGTGGCACCGTGGCTACAGGATCTCTCAGTTGGCCTGTGAAGCCTGGAGTGGGACTCACACTTCCTCGTAGAGTGGGCCCCTGGCAGTGGCATGGTGTGGGCTGGGACGCCTGGAGCGGGACTCTGGCGGTGGCATGGTGTAGCAGCAGAGAAGGAAAAGTTGCACTCTCTTTAAGTTGTTACAGAGATAGTAGGAACTGCCGATGCTGGAGGATCTGAGATAACAAGGTGTAGAGCTGGATGAACACAGCAGGCCAAGCAGCATCAGAGGAGCAGGAAAGCTGACGTTTCGGGTCGAGACCCTTCTTCAGAAAATCTCTCTTTAAGTTATCTTTTTTCTAATTTTATTTGAAGTTAATATGATTGGCACTTATGGATGGGTGACAGTACACACTTTTCACTGTATTTTTATTTTGAATACATTTGATAATAAGGATATTCTATCCTGAAGACAGAAAAATCAATGCCCAATTGCATTCGTTTCTTTTTTCTCTTAATTTCGCAGGATGTGAGTGTCGCTAGTTAGTCCAGCAGTGGTTGCTGATCCTTAACTGTCCTTACTGTAAGAATGTCAAATTTCAAATGATCACAACAATTTCTACTGCAGGAGAAAAGGGTGCTGATTCATTGGCTAGTTGACTCTGATTGGCTGAAGTATTGCCATGGAGAAAGCAATGGGGTACAATAGCTCCTGAATATTTCAAGAAAGGCATAAGGCTTGGACATGTACCTCTCGTTGTTTCAGAGAACGGGTCTCTGTGTATGAGGCAATGAGACTGAATTTGGGATTTTCCTGCAAAGTATGCTTAAAGGAACTCACATTTATTTAGAGATAGTAGGAACTGCAGATGCTGGAGAATCCGAGACAACAAGGT